TATTTCTTTTTTTATTTCACAATCACACACTTTGTTATTTAACTATAAATTTTATTTAAATGCTAAATATTAAACTCCGAATTTCCTTTTATTTAAATGCTAAATATTAAACACCGAATTTCCTTTTATTTAAATGCTAAATATTAAACACCGAATTTCCTTTTATTTAAATGCTAAATCGTAATTTTCGAACTACCATATGTATTTTTTCTGCACAAATATTTATGCGTGCGTGTATGTATTATGTAATATTGGTACATAGTTACTGATCTAGATGTAAATCTAATTTCTTTCGCAAAATGACTTTAACTAATCTTGCTAGAAAGAGTGCCTACTCTGTTTTAAGAAATTATCGTCTCAAACCTGCATTAGCAAGTCTCAGGTATTTTATTTACTCAACCAATTCAAATCACTTACTTTAATGTTAATATTAAATGACTTTTCATTATTAGATATTTCCAACATTCAGCTCCTGCCCAATATGTCGAAGTTCAACCTTCCCTTCATACCTTAACCGAGGAGGAAACAAGCATTCGGGATGCAGGTACTACTCGTGATTCGTGAAATAATCAAAAATTGTAATTAATACGTCCACTCTCTTGTTAAAAGTCGCGCATTTTGCACAAGAAAAGATTTTACCGAAGGTTCGTCAGATGGATGAATCTGAAAAACTCGACCCAGAAATTCTTAAAGGTCTTTTCGAACAAGGGGTCAGTGATTCAATTTAATTAAAAAGTTTTTTCTCTTTCAGCGTTTGATAAATAAGTTTTTTTTTTTTCTTTGACTTTAGCTCATGGGAATTGAAACAGAAACAGAGTATAATGGCGCCAATAGTTCTTTCTTGGCTGCAATTTTAGTTGTAGAGGGTATATGATTCCTCTTTTCCGCGCATTCTTTCTATATATCATCTACTGCTGTTGGTATGTTAGTTAAATGAATTAAATTCTAAACAGAACTTGCGAAAGTGGACCCGTCTATCAGCGTTGTTTGTGATGTTCAGGTTAGTTGATTTAAAAAAAAAATTCGATCGCAAATTTATTGGTATCCTCTTTCATTCACGTATTTAATAATTAATAGAATACACTGGTCAACACCCTGTTTCGTAAATACGGTAACGATTACGTGAAAAATAAGTATCTACCTCGTCTTGCAACCGACACAGTAAGGGACACTCCTCTGTTTTTATTCTTTATATGTGCACATTGTCGTGGTCTAAAAGGTCATTTCACAGGTTGGCTGCTTCTGCCTCTCCGAATCTGAAGCAGGTAGCGATGCATTTGCACTCAAAACTCGGGCAACTAAGGAAGGCGACCATTATGTAATTAATGGTTCAAAAATGTGGATCACAAATTCTGGAGAAGCGGAAATTTTTTTAGTTTTTGCAAACTTGGGTAAGAATTCTTCTCTCGCCTATGATTGACGCCTATTGTTTCTTCATTAACCGATTCCTCGTCATTTAAAAAATAGACCCGACTAAGGGATATAAAGGAATTACTTGTTTCATTCTAGAGAAGGATATGGGTGTCAAAGTTGCAAAAAAAGAAACTAAGGTGGTTTGATAAATATTTTTTTCCCGTTGTCCGACATTTATGATATTAAGATATTGATCCTGCTTTCTGATCTTATCATAGCTTGGCATTAGAGCTTCTTCAACATGCACGCTGAATTTTGATGATATCAAGGTACTTCTTTGCCTATATTTTTAATTGGGATGATCATCTCTCATTTATCTTTAATGTTTTAGGTTCCTGAGGAAAATGTTCTTGGGGAGGTGGGAAAAGGTATAATGTATTTTATAAAAGTCGAGGTCTCTGTTTGATATCGATCTAACTTTTACGAGTTTCTTTAGGCTATAAATATGCTATTGAAATTTTGAACGAGGGTCGCATTGGCATAGCCGCCCAAATGATTGGTTTGGCTCAAGGGGCTTTTAACAATGCTTTGCCATATTTATTCCAAAGGAAAGCATTTGGATCTTATATCGGCGAATTTCAGGTATGCATAAAAGAGAGAGCGTGCATTCATGTTTCATGATATTTGAAATAATCTGAAGTGTAAATATTTATTTTTCAAAGGGCATGCAACATCAATATGCCCAAGGTTAGTGATCACCTACGAATATACAACATTGGTTCAACAAGAATTAACGAGCTCTTTATAATCATAGTGGCTACTGAAATCGAGGCGGCCAGGTTATTAACGTATAACGCGGCAAGATTAAAACAGGAAGGAAAGAATTTTGTTAAAGAAGCTGCTTTTGCAAAATTATATTCTTCACAGATCGCGGAAAAGGTTGCGTCATGTACATTTTGAATAATCCGTTTCGAATCATACAATTCATATCAATTCTGTAATTTTAGGCCGCTTCGTTGTCTGTTGAGTGGATGGGAGGAGTAGGTTTCACTCGAGATTTTCCAGGTAATCACTTTATAATCGGGTCCCGGCTTAAATAAATATTAATCTTTCTGTTTTATCAATAGTCGAAAAGTTCTACAGAGATGCGAAGATCGGTAGGTCTTTTTTTAATTCAGCTATTTTGTTACTATCA